AAGAAAAAAGAGGGATGTAGCGCAGCGCCGTGCACCGTGGTTCAAAGGCTGGCTGCAGGGATGACAAATGACTGAATCTGGGTGAATTACCCTGTGTTGCCTTGTGGGGCTTGCCAAAGGTTCAGCATTGGCTTCGCTGACACTTGGCTAAACCTTTTCTGGTAGCTGTACATATGCCTTGGCGCACAGTTCACACGTGAGCAGCTGACACTTGTGGCCCAGCGGTGATGAGTGCTCTTTCGACTGATTTCGGCATCGTCATGGTAGACTATGCCTGATCATCAGGATGAGGTGCTTGATTAACAAGGGTCACGCTGCATGAGCAAGTGGAGGTTTGGGTTGTCAAGGTTGTCTACTTTGTGGGCGTGGGCATGGGTGGATGCAAACCCCAGCTGGCCGAGTGCTATGGCGTCTACGCAGCTGTCGGAGTCACCTGTCGCGACAACCCTCACATCATTGGGGTTGCACAAAGCCGGTTTGAGGGAGAAGCTTGCCACGGTTCGCTATTGACACTCATTGGTGCAGGACTGGCAATAACAAGTCAAGTCTGTTGCCTGGATATCAATATTGGCAATTCCTTTGTGGTGACTCTTTTGCTTTGCGAGTGCGTAGGTGTGTGCCTTGTTCACAGTTGCGAAGCATGGTGCGGCTTTCGTGGAAGTATGGGCCGGAGGAGCTTGGCTTTCAACGCTACTCCCCTCTTTCGCAAGACGACGTTTGAAAGGTGCCAAACACTTTGCCAATGCTGATGCTGTGCATGTAGTTGTTCTTTGTCGGCATTTGCACGTGCAAATGGCTTCCTCAGTGAAGTGCATAGTTATGACATCTCAACGGCCATGGGCGCGCGCGCAAGCGGATGAGATGTGCGTAAGTCCGGAAATTTGCCTGCAAGGGTATTTGTAAGTATACTTGGCTGTCTTCACCACACGGTGGGACGGCTGCTTGGCTTTGTCTTTGCGCAGGCACTGGTTCTGCAGGTGTCATTGTACTGCAAGGTGGTCATTGCCTCTTTTGTGCTATTGCTGCGGGAAGTGTGCGGCTTGCTATGCGTATGCATCTTCTACCAGGCTTCTTTTGCCTTTGGGCCGTCGTGCAGACTTTCTGCCGGTGTCACGCAATATTGCCAGGCACGGCGCAGCTCAGATTCAGATGCGAAAAGCGAAACCAAATGCTGGTGTTGGATTGACCCAATTTTCCTGCAACAACTCGGGGATGAGACCCAATTTTTGCGTGCTTTCTCGGGGAACAAAGAATCTGACTATTGTATGATGAGCTCTCCTCGAGCTAGATCAAGCTCACCTGATGCAGGTTCTTTGCTTGGAAATCCCTCATTTCAGGTTAAGCATTTCCGGCACAATGTTGTTTGTGGGTCGCATCTTCGAAGCCACGTGCTCACGGTTCACTGGCGATATCTGTTTTGCCCAGGCTTCAATGGCTAAAGGCCAGTGTTCAGGTTTTGAAACGGGTTCTCACGAAATGGAAGTTGTTCAATTGCCCGCACAAACATAGCAGTTGGAAGGTGCTAATGGACCTGGCAGGCTCCATGTTTGTGTCGATTTGCTTGTGAGGGCTACTTCTTGGCACAGGCACGCAAAGACAGAAATACTCACACCCCGGCGGGAAAGCGCACCAAAAGACCAAAACCAATTGATCTGATTTGGGAGCCATTGGTGATTTTGTCGCAAACCAACACCTTGGTCAGGCCACTATGCTTTGGCAATGTTGATCACCTGACAGGGCTCCAAATCCTTATCGGTCGCACGTGTTCCCTTCTCTTCTGACTTGCTTTCCGGCGTCCTTTTTGGATTCCTTTTCGGCTTCCTTCGGTCTACAACATCAAACAATGGGCCTTTCGGTCTCTCTTTTGAAATGACATTTGTGCAGGGATGTTCATTTGGTTTCATCTTCATCAGCTTTCGTCCTTGTGCCAACGTGATCTCTTGGATTCCCATCCACAATTGCATGCAGAATTGGCCTCCAATTTTAGTTGACACCCCACTAGGTCCGTCCAACTATACATGAAGGATCTTCCCCGAAATGGAGGTTCCCTGTTGCTTTTCCTTTGAAGCCACCCACAAAGGGGCACCTCAACAACGATACGCCTACACCCATTTGGGCATCCTTTCAGGACTTCGTTGCATTGCACCACCAACCATTGAGGTGGTCACCCATCGGGATGTTCTCCCAAGCTTCCCTTGGGTTTTTCTTGGGTTCCTAACTTGCTGGGAGGTTGACGTGGCCTCGGTGCGCCGAGTTGCTGGGTCGGCAATCCGCCGGCAACGTGGCCAAGTGGCCCCAGGCCCCCCCCCAAAGCAAACCCTCCACCGAGCACACGCCGTTGCGGACCTTGGATCTGATCGTGGGTTGGGCCCTTTTCCGACAGGTTGTCAGTCTTGTGGGGGGAGTGTCTTGGGATGAAATCCACCTTGGGGCTTTCAGCAAATAGAATCCTGGGGTGGAAGCCCTGGCATGTGAGCAAAACATTCTTTGGTTTTCCGCAAACCGAGCCAGAGTGAAACACTGATGAGGGCAGGCCCAACCTTGCCAATCTAACTCTTTTGAAGGCCCAAGACAATGGGGGTCTGTTGGTAACATGTTTGGAATGTGAAACCAAAGGAGAACCATGCATCGAGGTTTGGTTCCGATTCCGGTTCGCATCCTGAACCCATACCTGAGGGAACCAAAATAACACCAATGGTCTGCCGGAACTGGGGGGCTAATTTCACAGCAAAAAGCCAGGACCATCATGCGTACAAGGCCTTGCAGGTTCTGAGCGAGTTCCATCTCTCAAATCGGCTCCAATCTGAATGTCAGGGTTCCCAAGATTCCTCTTTAATATCACCCCACCAAAAGGAAGCTCACCTCTCTTGCCCTTCCAGGGAAACAGAAAGAACCCTTGTCCATCTTTTTGAAGCCACCCAAATCCATATTTATGCTTGGAGAAATGGCTTGGAGGAGGATCTCTAAATCAACCTCCTTGTTCCTTCCTTTCAATCAAATGGGGCGTGTTGCCAGTAGTAGGCTTTATTGCAATTTGGTCTTTGTTATACGATGGCTTCTACACTTCTGAGGGGTGTACCCTTGTGGAGGAAACAAAGGCAATCTCTGACATTGTCTGACTGGGCAAAGCAGGAAGACTCACTTGCGGTCTGCACGAGAGAAAAGGCTTTCTGGACCACGCCAAGTAGACTTGATTTTTCTCACCCAAAATGGAACCTTGCTTTCTCAGCAATCAGCTGAGACAAGTGAAATTCCGTCCACGTGCAAATGGCCCGTCCGAGAAGGCTCAATTGTCACCCTTTGCCGCATGGTTCAACTCACCGCCGTGTTTGGCAACCTTCAAATCCCAAGCTCGAGTGATCCAATCTAAATTAAGCAGCATTGGGAGGGGACCTGTACTACTGGAATTCATATCTGCCAGCTTCCTTTTACTTACCCCCCCAATAGATCGTGGGAGGCTCCTTCATGATGCCTTTCTTCCAAGGAAGCGAGTCTGATGAAATGTTATTCGCGTAGAAAATTGCAACACAGGGTGGAAGCTTCTCGCTCGCTTCTGGGGAACAGCTGCATGTAGTTGGCAGGGCCATGGGACGCCTGAGGGCTTGAGGGCCAAGCCCCCGTTTAAACATGCACAAAGAAGGGCAAACCGCCTCTTGTTCCGCTTCCCCTTTAAGGCATTGGCCGATCTCCTTCGCTCTACGCCATTAACAATGGACCTTTGGATTTCCATAGGGACAACGCGGCAGCTTGTTGAGCTCAGGCGCTGTATAGTCCGGAGATCCATAGTTGCCGCCATAGGCAACCCAACTCCCCGCCAAGGGCAAAGAGATGTGCCCCAAGGAGTCGGGAGCGAAGACGATGTTGGACAGGCTCATCCAACTGTGGGACCTGGGATTCATGTCGCACGTGGGTTGAGCTGACTTGCACAAAGTGCTTGAAGGGGTTGTTAGATTTTATGTTGGAATTCGCGTTTGCGATGATCCTACACCACGCCCCCACCCAGTATCCCGCCAGAGCAGCTCACCAGTGGATCCCGCCGAGTATGCCGCCGAGTACCCCGCCAGAGCTGCTCGCCAGTGAATCCCGCCGCCAGTGGATCTCGCCGAGTATCCCGCCACGCCAGTGGATCCCGCCGAGCATCCCACTGAGTATCCCAGAGTCGCTTGCCAGTGGGTCCCGCCGAGTATCCCGCCAGCCAGTGGATCCCGCCGGGTATCCCACCAAAGCAGCCCGCCAGTGGATCCCGCCGAGTATCCCGGTGAGTATCCCAGAGTAGCTCGCCAGTGGATCCCGACGAGTATCCTGCCAGAGTAGCTCGCCAGTGGATCCCGCCGAGTATCCCACCAGAGCAGCCCGCCAGTGGATCCCGCCGAGTATCCCGCTCAGTTTCCTAGAGTAGCTTTTCAGTGGATCCCGCCTAGTATCCCGCTGAGCATCCCTTGGTGGATCCTGCCGAGTATCCGGCCAGTATCGAGCCGGAGCGGCTCGCCAGTATTCGCCAGTGGATCCCGCCAGTATCCCGCAAGAGCAGCTTGCCAGTCTGGTTTTGCTTAATGTCCCGCCTGGCGCACAGTTGGGTTTACATTTCATGTTGGTGCCTTCGTGATTTGAGTGCACCCTGAGGCTCGGAAAGGGTGATGCTGTTGTGTTGCTTTGGGTTGTGCATAAGCAACTTTGTTTAATCCCCCGTCGCGTTTCTTTTTGGAAGGGGCTTGGCTTCTGTTAACGGAGCCGATGTTTGAGTTCTCGAGATCGGCTCGCAAACAAGTGGAAGTGGCCGATGGGAAGGGAAGGGGCCGATGGGAATTTGGAGTCGAAGTCTCTAGGATGCGGAGGAATTTGTTGTCACGGTCGTAAGCTCGTGAGCGTGGAGGGTGAGGGTTGCTCGAAGCGAAGTATTTGGCTGTGGGGGGGGGGAGGCGGGGTCATGAGTAAGCCCATGACCTACCCAGCATCAGGTTAGCTCATGCGCCCCATTGAAACAGCCCTTGCATAGACCCCCTCAATTGTATGATTGTTTAAGGCACGCCAAAAATAAACCAATATATTGCCTCTTTTACTCGAGGCACCACTAAACCGCCAGGCACGGATCACATAATTCTGCTTGAAGCAAGAAGGTTGTTATAGGGTCCCCTAGTATGGTTGAATTACGCACATTGCAATGGGTGGGTGTCTCTCCTGCTAACAGATCTGTTGAGACGCCTCCATTGAGGAAAAGTCGCTGCTAGTTGAGTTCGAAGGGGAATCAGGTCATTTGCTGATGGCAGAGAACCGCATCCCAGTCTTCTTAGGGAAGTGGCAAAACCACCCGAGGGCAAAACGAGGTCTCCTATCCGATGCCCCCCTCAAAAATGGGCCATGTTGTCCTTGTGGTCCAGAGTGTTTTCACCAATGAGCGTGGCTTCTTCGAGCGGTTGAGTGAGGCGACGGGGTGCTAGACCTCTAAATGACTCCCGAAAGCGGACCAAGCGCGGGAGGAGGGGAAGGAGCCCCAAGGGACCTGCGTGGGTTTCGCTCGTACCCCTTTCGGCAAATTTGCCCAGGATATCTCAAATCCTGCTTACCTCATTCCGATGAAAACGCGGCCGTGACGCCAACACTAGCCAAACTGGCGCTTCAATTCCCGCTCGAAGTGTGGAACACCCTGAAAACCCGCAGACCGAAACCTGAAACACCTCAAACCATACAACCCGGAACGCCCCTCAATTGTTCCAAACCTTAACGCTCAAAACTGAACATCTCTAAACATCTATTTTGTCTTCAGCATTTGCGTTTCACCCAACGCTTAAGCACCCAAATTCTGGGTGATGTGTTTCTGAAATGGAGGAGCAACTCCTCAGGCCTGACCGTAAGCCTTCAAGCCAAAATCCAGTGTTTGTTCAAGCCTCGCCATCATTGTTGCATTTGTCCGGCTTTTGTTGTCATGGGATTGTCCTTGTCAACAGCCTGAAAGCGGCGTTTGTTTGTCTTCTGCCACCTCAAATTAGAACTCCTGATTGCTGCAATGCAACATGCTATGATTCACTCAACCTGAAGGAAGGAAGCCTGACGTACCGGACCTTCGTGGGCCTGAACTGCTTGCGTTGTCTCCAACTTGGAAACCCCAAAACGTTTGGTTCCTTTGGCATCCTTTTCGAGGAAAAGTGTTGTGCAGCAAGTTTGGCTTTTCCAAGTGCGTCCCAGAAGCGCTCCTCCGGCCATATACTGAACCGTGCCGTCAGTGTCCACATCCACACGGGCTTGGGCCTCGTTATTGTTGGCTGAGAAGATCAAACGCCTTGGCTGGACGTCGCAAAACACGGAGCCGGCAGTTCTTGGCATAGAAGTGGCTTGGCTAACCTGAGAACTATGTGGAAACCAGATTTACCCGGATCAGAAACTGCCCCTAATTCCAAACACATTTGGAGGATGCATCTTCAGGGACGCATGACGTTGGCCCTCGAAGTTCAGAGAAAGTCGAAGCCCAGATGCAAGCCGAACCCTGAACCCCTTGAGAAGGTAAGGAAGCCCTCTTAACGGCAAGCTTTGTTTGCATCAGGGTTCAACCAATGTGTGCCCGTCGGGTTCATGCATCACCTGTTGGAAAGGCACATTTATCTTGGGTGAACTTTCGCTAGATGCTTACAGAGGACATTCTTCAAGATCTTTGTGAGTCTTGAAGCAGCTAGGAGCAACCTCGGACTTGCGTCAGATTTGGCCCAGTGGCTTGGTGGGCCGGCAGTTCGGAGGGAGTTGGGCGAAGCTGCCCGACCAGCTGCCATCTTTTACCAGCGCGGCCAGCGAGCACATCCCGTTCCTGCAAAGGGAACCTGTTCGTTTGCTCGACCCGCCTCGTGAACTGGGGGTCGAACAAAATGCATTTTGGATGCGTCCGGTGTCATATGTTTTGGAAACCAAGCACCAGCCGTCGCATTTTGGTGGTTCTCTTAGACACAAACTTGCATGGTTTGGCGGTATGGTTACGGCCTGGCCTATACCGGCAGAATATGTTTGTACACTGAACAATACTCCAATGCTACGAAAGCTACATGCCTCCAGTGGACAATGCACGCGCATGTGTTACGGGCCCGAAAAAGTATGGTCCTTGGACAAATGGAGCTCCCTGGCGTTTATGGGCAACTTCAGGCTCCATCCCCACGTCCTCCCATCGGAACTTCGCAGCCCACCGTTGTCCGTTGCTCTCTTGTGCCGCTTGGAAACAAAAACTTCAGTACTATCCATTGGACCAAGAGCAAGGCTGCACTTGTTTCTGGCTGCCCCAACCTCGGCCGTGGAAAGAAACAAGGCCCAGTCAACATCAGCAAACATCATTACTAGAGGAACAGGCACATTCCGCATTGGGATTCATGGGCCCAATTGTAAAAGCGAAGCTAAACAAATGACCACCTCGAGAGTCGATTCGTTTTCAAAAGAAGTCCTCCCGCCAATCCTTGATTGAGGGTGAGAGGGGGGTCCCAATTCCACTTCTTTAGTCCGAAGAAGGAAAGCGGAGAAACGGAC